TGAGACAGGAGAATGGCGTAAACCCGGGAGGCGGAGCTTGCAGTGAGCTGAGATCTGGCCACTGCACTCCAGCCTGGGCGACAGAGCGAGACTCCATCTGAAAAAAAAAATAAAATAATAAAAATAAAAATAAAAAAACAACAAAATTGAGATTTTTAATAAATAATTTTGAAATATATTCCAATAAGATACAAAAGACATACTTGGAGGAAAAAACAAAAACAAAAGCAAGAACTTAAAAGTAAAATAATAAAAAGAAAAGGAAAAAAAGAAAAAAGGGGAAAAAAGCAGGATCCAGCATTGAGGATTTATTTTGTGCCCTTTGAAGCCATTCAGGTAAGAGATGTCAAGAACAGAAACATGTTACCCTCAATGATACAGTATTCACAGTGATACATAATTTGTCATCTACGGTGGATTTCTAATATTTATCCTTAGAACTTATTTAGGTTTGATAGTAAGTTTCTACTAAGAGGTTTGCTGTAAAGGAACCTGAAGCAAATCTCAAAAGAACACAATAATTTATTTTTTTTTTTTTTTTTTTTTTTTTTGAGACAGGGTCTGGCGCTGTCTCCCAGGATGAAGCGCAGTGGCAAGATCATAGCTCACAGCAGCCTCAATCTCCTGGGCTCAAGTAATCCTTCTACCTCAGCTTCCCAAGTAGGTGGTAATATAGGCGTGTGCCTCATTTGGCTATTTTTTTTTTAAATTTTTTATAGAGATGGGGGTCTCACCATGTTACCCAGGCTGGTCTCAAACTCCTGGGCTCCACCTGCCTCACCCTCCCAAAGTGTTGGGATTTCAGGTATGCACCTGGCCAGAACACAGTCTTGAATCCTAAGTCCCACCTTTTAGTTTCATTTCACTAGAGTTCTGCTGTCCTGATGAAGACAGAGCCCTCGTAATTCTCACTCATTAAATCCATAACTGACCTAGTGGAGAGCAATGCACATTTTATTCTAGAACAAATGAGAGCCAGGCACAGTGGCTTATACCTGTAATTCCAACACTTTGGGTGGCCAAGATGGGAGGGTTGCTTGTGTCCAGGAGTTCAAGACCAGCCTGGGCAACATAGTGAGACCCCATCTGTACAAAAAATTTAAAAATTAGGCAGGTGTGGTGGCACACACTTGTAGTCCCAGCTACTCAGGAGGCTGAGGTAGAAGAACTGCTTGAACCTGGGAGGTCCATGCTGCTGTGAGCCATGACTGTGCCACTGCACTCCAGCCTGGGTGACAGAGCAAGATCCTATCTCAAAACAAAAACAAAAACAAACAAAAAACACAACTGACTCATGCAGGTATTCGGAAGCACAAATCTAGTTTGAAACTAGATTTCCAAGGTGCTTGACTTTAAAACTAAGAGGTTTTTTCCTTGTGTCTAGAACTGTTTCTACACCTTGAAAAAGGAATAACAGCCTCTCCACCATGGTTTCAGATTTTTTTTTTTTTAAATGGCATAGCTAGAAGCAGTGGCATGCACCTGTAGTCCCAGCTATTTGGGAGGCTGAGGTAGGAGGATCATTTGAGCCCAGGTGTCCAAGTCCAGCCTGGTCAACAAAGTGAGACCCCATCACTTTCTTTTTCTTGAGACTAAGTTTCACTCTATCACCCAGGCTGGAGTGCAGCGACGTGATCTCAACTCACTGCAACCTCCACTTCCCGGATTCGAGCAATCCTCCTGCCTCAGCCTCCCAAGTAGCTGGGACTACAGGTGCACACCACCACACCATGCCCAGCTAATTTTTGTATTTTTTTAGTAGAGACGTGTTTTCACCATGTTGGCCAGGCTGGTCTCGAACTCCTGACCTCAAGTGATCTGCCCACCTTGGCCTCCCAAAGTGCTGGGATTACAGGCATGAGCCACTGTGCCTGGCCAAGAACCCATCTCTTTAAAAAAAAAAAAAAAATAGTCATTTTCCTGATTAATCCTTTTCCCTACGGAGCTATCTCTGGAATGTAGCTGAATGAGACATGAAGGGTACCCCATCAGGTCTAGCCCTTACCATTCCCAAAGTGGAGAAGAAAGAGTACCACCAATTGCTTTCTGCCCAAAATGCCCCCAAGGCATGGCAGGATCCCAGTCAGATCCCAGTCAGATCCTGCCATGGCAACATTCCGCTTCACTATTTAGATAGCATTATCCAAAGAATGGCAGCCTGTTGAATACGTACTTTTAAATAATTCAATCATTTAAAACTAAGGCAGTTCAAAAATTACCATCTTTGTTAGTGACTATTCTTTTTCAATTGCATAACTTTAAGGCGGGGTTCCTTTTGATACATTTCTTTTCAAACAACTGCTTTCATACCTTTGATGTTCCTTGACATCCAGTTCTTACTGAGTCATGGTTTAGAAATACAGATATCTAATAAAACTTGATCTTTTACAAACATACCCTCAACTTTCCTCTGGCTCTCATTTCAGGCAGGCCTGCCTCTAAAATCAAGAGATAACCTAATTAACAAAGCTGACTTTCTCTAAGACTAATCTTGAACTCTATTGAGTCATTTTAGTCTTAGAGGTTTTGGAAGTTTAAGACAGCTGCCTGATTCAGTATTCACTTAGCCCTCTCTATCAGTAAATCATGCCTCTCATCCTTCTGTAGGTACATGTACAGAAGTTAAAAGACAAGTAATCTAAAATGACTGCTCATCACAGTAAAAGCCCTAATTCCTCTCCTTTCATATTCTGAAGGTCATAAGATTTTTACCAAATCTAAAGAGATGATATTCCAAAGGATGAGAAAATTAGACAGGGATTTAAGCCATCATGGCATTCTAAAACATTTCTTTTAAACCATGAAGAAAATATGATTAAATATAAAATACTTTTATACACAGTTCATTATATGACTCATGGCTAATTTGATGTTACCTTGATTCTCTGATTCAAATAAATTTGCTAATAACTATACTGTATCTTAAACAAAATTTTAAAGCATAACTGCAACAAAAAGATATTTTCCAAAATAATATATTGAAACAAGGGCAAATGAATAACATCTTCTGAGGGTCTTGTAAGCTTCTATTCTGAGTGCCAATGAAATTAAGAAGTCTTATGCAATTGTTAGGCTTAATGGTAGTGACTCTATCAAAGTGAATATTAACTATAAGATTTCCCCCCCATTCTATTCCTACTTTTGCCATTTACAACCATTTTTTACCTCAATCCATTTAGCCGTACTCTCCATCCATAGATTAATCATCTATGATTAATGAGAAGCAGTATTCAACATTCTTCTTATTCCAAGTAAAGTGCACCTTTTTTCCAGTATCTCTAGCTGCTTATCATCTAGATCATTTTCTGGAGCCCACACAATTACCACGAGCTGGCCATCAATCCTCAGTACCTGACCTTTTCCCTAGGCAGACTAATGGCCATTTAGTTCACTTGGTGCTCACTACAGAAATGAGTCTGTGGAATATTTCACTGGCTCTGCTAGTAGCCATCCATCTCAATCCCAGCTTTCCTGTCCTCTCGGTAAAGGCAACTGTGAGTCACCTTTTGCATTCAGTATCTGCCATGATACTTCCTAGACCAAACTGCTTTATCTTTTCTGTTATCCAATACCTCTCTCTACTGGACATCACCTCTAGAACATTCATTCAGCCCCTTATCTGGCTTGTACTCTACCTGAAATCTCATACTGCCCATTTGCTAATCAAAGTATTGGTCTCTGGAATAGCAGAATCGCTGTCATATATGAGCTTTTGAGAAAAGCAGAATTTCAGGACTTATTTAATCTAAGCCTGCATTTTAACCAGACCCCTAAGCTACTTGTGCATACAATCAAG